GGCCGTTAGATCGCGCTGGACTTGCTGCGCCGGAGCAGGCAGACGGCGGTCGCCAGCGACGTCAGCCCGGCGGCCACGAAGAGCAGGATGAGCATGACCCAGTAGTTGTACAACATGCTTCTGTGGGAAGAGGGCTTCTCTGCCGGGATCATGTTGGTGAGGTTCAGCATGTAGCCCAGCGCCCAGCCGATGGAGGTTTCTCCCGCCTGTGGGAACACCATGGCACGGTCACCACCCCGGTGAACCCAGCTCCACGGGCCTCAAGAGACCTCCCGGGGACCACCGCAGTGTCAGCCTGATGGAGGAGAGGGGTGTGGGGTACTCCAGAGTGCCCCGAGCCCTCGCTCGCCCTTGGGTGCAGCCAGCCCAGGGACGAAGCAGTTGACCGTCCCATGCTGAGCTGGGCTCATCCAATGGGAGCAGGATCTCCTCCGCTTAGGCCAGGCTGGATCTCGCTGCCATCCCATGGCTCATTCAGGCACTTGGCAAAGGTGGGACCCTGCCCTGAGATAAACAACTTTTGGCTCAGGCTTGTTGGGAAGCTGAGATGACTGGTGTCTTGAGGACCAAGGAAACGGTGGACAACCTGACTCCGTGACCACCCTACAGTCAGCCCAGCTCATTTTTTTCCATCTCCCGCCCAAAAACTGGGAGTTCCATCCTGCCCCTGTTCCCTGAAATCTTCCCTCACATTGCTCGGCTCTGTCTTGGTGTGAGATCATCTCTCTTGCAGGGCTTTTTGGCCTAACTCCAAAAAGATACCATGGCGTGAGTATGTGCTGTGGTGTCACCCACCTTCTTCTGGAAGGCAATGTTGGGGAAGGAATGGTTGTCGAAGTTGTAGCCTTTGGTGGTGAGCAAATAGACGAACATGCTGACAGCGCAGTAATCTGACAGTCTCTTCTCCAGCTCGGGGGCTTTCTGGAGCAGCTGGGTGGGACGCATGGAGGGACAGAGAAAAGGGGTCAAGCCAGCAGGGTCCAGGCTTTGTTTCTATGGCCCAAAACTCTGGGTGGTTGCATCTGGCTGGCCAAGGCGCTGCCCATACCCACCTGAGCTGTCAGCCACCCTCTCCCTGCTCCCAGGGAGGACACCCAGCCCCCTCCGAGGGCTGCTCTCAGGACCGGGTGATGCCCCGCACGAAGCAGCCCTCCCCTCCCCACCATGCCCGGGGAGCCCACCTCGCCCCAGCTGGTGGCACAGATGGTCTCGGCAGCATCCTTCAGGTCACTGGGCAAGCGCACTGTCCTCCCCATCACCGTCTGGATGAAGTCCACCGTGTAGAAGAAGGCGGAGAAGGCCTGTGGAGGAAAGCAGGCGGCTGCGGGACAGGCTGGGAGCGAACCCTCTCGCCACGCGCAGCTGCTCTGAGCGGCGCGGTGGGCACAAGCAACTGCTCCTGTGGGGCTGGAGATCTGGCTTTGGTGGGGCCCCCCCCCCAGCCAGCAGCCAGGCCACCACCCTGCTCCATGCCAGAACTTACGATGAAGTTTCCCGAAACCTCCGGCTGGAAAATGCCGTCGAAGGAGCAGCGGGAGAAGGAGCAGGTGGTGAAGTCAAAGAGCTTGCTGGCGTGCAGGGCACAGAGGCTCCCGTTCCCAGTGCCGACCACGGTGATGGTGGTGTTGAGGGCAAGGCTGGGCCTCTCCTTCTCCGTGCAGGGGCTGTTGTAGATGCTGCTCAGCGACAGGCTCTTGCGGTAGCCCCTGGGCCAGCAGGGATGGGAGACGGTGGCTTGGTAGCTCTCAGCCTGCCGGGGAACACATGGGGTGCGTGAG